TCCGGTTTGCCTAGCGGTCGTTTTCTCCTTCAGCGAACTCGAACCCGTGAAGCATTTTGCGGACGGACAGACATACATACATACATACATACAAACCGACACACAAAGTTACTGGTTTATAGAATAGAAGGATAGTGGGATGAGTACATTTTCTCAGTGCTATCAGAGGAGTGATGGCTGTGGGAAAATTTCGCTTACTGAGAGGCTTTTTGGCAGTGTAGTGGTCAGAGATGTCGTGAGATTGTCCCCTTATCTTTGCTTATCAATTGATAAAATTGCTTGTCACCCGTCATCAATGTCGCTATCACCAAAACTCCATAATTTCGCGTAGAGGCTCCAACATTTGATTGAACAACGACTGCATCTTTCTCTATCAGGCCTTATCAGCTGTTATCATTTCCTGTCACCCGCCGTCGCCTTCTCCTATCATTTGCTGAAATCAACGCCTATGATGCTGTGTCCCGCGTTATGAGTATGTTGTCCTTTTCCACTCTAATTCCCCTTATCAGCAGCTAGCAGTTCTTGTCACCCACATATTCCTGTGCCGTAACCTATATCAAACCTTAGAACAAACGCCCCAGTATTCCAGTCAGACCACCTCCTCTGCTTCCTTCCCTTGCGCATGCTCAGATGGGGCTGAGCACGCGCAGGGGAAGGAAGCAGAGGGGGGGGCACTGGGCGTCCCCCCCCATCGGCCCCACCCCACCCTGCCCCCGCACGAGCACACGTCCAGCTGCCACGCCAGCAGCTCGTGCAATGGCTCGGAGCGTACCGAATGGTTGTCTTATATAGCGGAGGCCGATATCACGATCAAAACATTGCATTGATACTTCCGCACCAATCGATTTCCGGTTTGCCTAGCGGTCGTTTTCTCCTTCAGCGAACTCGAACCCGTGAAGCATTTTGCGGACGGACAGACATACATACATACATACATACAAACCGACACACAAAGTTACTGGTTTATAGAATAGAAGGATAGTGGGATGAGTACATTTTTTCAGTGCTATCAGAGGAGTGATGGCTGTGGGAAAATTTCGCTTACTGAGAGGCTTTTTTGGCAGTGTAGTGGTAGAGATGTCGTGAGATTGTCCCCTTATCTTTGCTTATCAATTGATAAAATTGCTTGTCACCCGTCATCAATGTCGCTATCACCAAAACTCCATAATTTCGCGTAGAGGCTCCAACATTTGATTGAACAACGACTGCATCTTTCTCTATCAGGCCTTATCAGCTGTTATCATTTCCTGTCACCCGCCGTCGCCTTCTCCTATCATTTGCTGAAATCAACGCCTATGATGCTGTGTCCCGCGTTATGAGTATGTTGTCCTTTGTCAGAGCTGCATAATTCCCCTTATCAGCAGCTAGCAGTTCTTGTCACCCACATATTCCTGTGCCGTAACCTATATCAAACCTTAGAACAAACGCCCCAGTATTCCAGTCAGACCACCTCCTCTGCTTCCTTCCCTTGCGCATGCTCAGATGGGGCTGAGCACGCGCAGGGGAAGGAAGCAGAGGGGGGGGGGGCACTGGGCGTCCCCCCCCCCATCGGCCCCACCCCACCCTGCCCCCGCACGAGCACACGTCCAGCTGCCACGCCAGCAGCTCGTGCAATGGCTCGGAGCTACCGAATGGTTGTCTTATATAGCGGAGGCCGATATCACGATCAAAACATTGGATTGATACTTCCGCACCAATCGATTTCCGGTTTGCCTAGCGGTCGTTTTCTCGCTTCAGCTGAACTTCGAACCCCGTGAAGCATTTTGCGAAACGGACAGACCATACATACATAACACTACATCCAAACCGACACACCTACAAAGTTACTGGTTTATAGAATAGAAGGATAGTGGGATGAGTACATTTTTCAGTGCTATCAGAGGAGTGATGGCTGTGGGAAAATTTCGCTTACTGAGAGCTTTCCTGGCAGTGTAGTGGTTAGAGATGTCGTGAGATTGTCCCCTTATCTTTGCTTATCAATTGATAAAATTGCTTGTCACCCGTCATCAATGTCGCTATCACCAAAACTCCATAATTTCGCGTAGAGGCTCCAACATTTGATTGAACAACGACTGCATCTTTCTCTATCAGGCCTTATCAGCTGTTATCATTTCCTGTCACCCGCCGTCGCCTTCTCCTATCATTTGCTGAAATCAACGCCTATGATGCTGTGTCCCGCGTTATGAGTATGTTGTCCTTTCCACTCTAATTCCCCTTATCAGCAGCTAGCAGTTCTTGTCACCCACATATTCCTGTGCCGTAACCTATATCAAACCTTAGAACAAACGCCCCAGTATTCCAGTCAGACCACCTCCTCTGCTTCCTTCCCTTGCGCATGCTCAGATGGGGCTGAGCACGCGCAGGGGAAGGAAGCAGAGGGGGGGGGCACTGGGCGTCCCCCCCATCGGCCCCACCCCACCCTGCCCCCGCACGAGCACACGTCCAGCTGCCACGCCAGCAGCTCGTGCAATGGCTCGGAGCGTACCGAATGGTTGTCTTATATAGCGGAGGCCGATATCACGATCAAAACATTGCATTGATACTTCCGCACCAATCGATTTCCGGTTTGCCTAGCGGTCGTTTTCTCCTTCAGCGAACTCGAACCCGTGAAGCATTTTGCGGACGGACAGACATACATACATACATACATACAAACCGACACACAAAGTTACTGGTTTATAGAATAGAAGGATAAGACAGTGAGATACAATGAACTTACTTGCAACAAGGCGTGATGTGTTGAGAAAACCATGCTGTAAAAATTGCCACAGGGCAAAGTATGATGACAAAAATTGAGACGTTTCTCAAAGAGAATATCGAATTCGCCGGAAAGCAAACCACAACCAAGCTGAAAGGATCTCAAGTGAGATGGTTCTCAAATAGCAGGATGGTCCAAAATGCTAAGGATACCGATTGACAGCCATTAATATCTGAGCAACCGAGCCATAGTACCAACAAAAGATGAATACATCACTCAAAAATTCTACTGCAGAGCTGTGTCGACCGCCTTTGAACAACCAATCCTGAAATATTAATCACCAAGTCCTGGCTGACGGGCGCATTTCTGGCGCGCAGGCTAAAGCCTATGTACTGATCTACTTGACCTGAGGGATTTCTGTGCTGAGCACTAACACTTAGCCTAATTCCTATGTTTCCAAAATGGCCCATTTCATCATGTTTCTCCCTTTTAATGAACACTTGCCAATGTTAGGCTCATATAATAATTCTATCACCAATCGTTGGAAATCGGACAGCATAGCGATTGGAAAGATTCCGATGGTAAGAATATTGAAATCACAGTGGCTCTTATCATTCCTCACAGCTGGGGCAATAAGTGCCATACATTATCAGAATGTTTCAAGGCTTCTGACACCAGCTCGCACCAATCATGTCACTTCCCTTCTCCTAAACAGACCCGTCTCGGAATCAAGTCCCCGTTCACTACAAAACTGCGGGGCTAGACGAATTTGGTGACGACACCCGCGTCTAAAGGCCATCATCGGATCTTATCAGATGTTATCAGCTTCTGTCAGCCACCACCCTACCGTGTATATCACTTCTTGAAAGTCACGGTCCCGCAGCTGCTGCAACTTGCGCTACGATTTCGGTCACCCTCCCCTTCTAAGGCCCTTATCGTATCTTATCAACTGATATCACTTCCTGTCATCCACGAAAGTGTTCCCGTCACACCGCCTACATCACTTCTCGAAATAAATGTCTCATCACTATTGGGACCGGGGCTGTGAATTTCGTGACAAACAGACCAGAGCCGAGCACCAGCACACACATCCGAACACTCCAACACACACACACACACACCCCAGCACACACGACACACACAACACAACTACACACACACAACACACACACCTAGCGGATTATATGTACGTAGGATAGTTTGTCATCAGCTCCACTGTATTTTAAATAGGTTAAAAGTTAATTATTTTTGGTTTGCAGTTTTTTTATTAGGAGCAAAGTCAAACATACGTCGAATATGATTGACGGTGTGAGGTAGAAGAGTGCCAGTAGAAGCTGAATTAACATCGGGGCAACAGCATAAGTTAAGCAAGGCGATATAACATAGATCGGACTTCTCTTCTTGACTACAGCCAACTTCATCACAGCAAATAAAACGATGGTGGTGAGTACGATCCCACCAATGGTGGAGAAACCAAGGAGAACTCCAAGCCCAAATTTCAAATTTCATCTGAAATGTTAGCAACTCAGTATTGTACACATAAAGAACAAACTCTAACGTTGCCATAAGAAGAGGTGGTGGTGGCACACAGGGAAGTAATGGTGTTATACAGGGATCAACAAGGAATCATATCTCAGCTCGAGTACCGCCCACGGCAACAATGCTTTCCATCGAAGCAGAGGCAGAGGCTTGCCAAGGGGATTCATTGTGCGGGTCAGACACGAGCTCAAAAGCTTTGGCCATCTTAAATAGGACTTGTATGACTGGGTCATCCCAAAGGGAGACCCCGTGGTCGCATGCTATGTAATGACGTTTAATAACGAACCTATGGTCCCCAAGTGACTCTTCAGGTGAAAAAATACAAAAAAAATCATGAGAACCCCACAAGGGCGTGGCAGCCTCCCTCGACGAGCCCTCCTAACCTCTCGTTTTATGACAGGAGTGCGATATGCTGCCGCTCCTAGCTCACTAATCGTTTCTTCGTGTCATCCAATGCTAAAATACAATCTACCGGGTGAGAAAAAAAATTCGAACATATTGAAAACTGAGCTCGTGAGAGAAAATTTCCTTTGTGGGGGGGGTGTGGGGCAACTGATGAGACGTCAGAGCTTCCACTTATGAAGGCCACAGCGTCTCGTTATTGAATGTGAAGCCGTCAAGGTGGAGGCGTGATAGAACTGAAGGACAGGCTATTTATACCAGGGAAGACGCATAAGGCTGCATTCGGAATTCGCGATTTCAGTGCTTCTTTCGACGCGATCGATGCAGTGGAAAGGCATGCGCATCGATCGTCGAATCGCGACCGAAGCGCTGCCGTCGCGAAGTCTGAAAGCAGCCTAAGAGATGCTCGATGCAGGGACTGTCCTCAAAAGGGGTTATCGATGCTGGCTGCTCTATCCTCGTATTTTTTATCATGAATCTTGGAAAGACGCACTGGCAGAAATATTATTTTGCACAACATGCCTAGGGTACAAGTGGTCAGCGGGTAACCTGGGAAAGCACAAACTTCATCTTCTGAGGTGGAGGTGGTGGCAGAGCAAGTGGCGCGCTAAGCCACATGTTGTGGTCGGTAGGTGATTCCCTCGCGCCCTCTTTCGGTCCGGATCCATCCCATATTCTCCAATCTTTCGGGGACAGTAACTTGATGCCTCTTTGCGTCTAATAGAACAGTGACTTCTCCATCCGCTGTCCTCCGCAAGTCATTATAGAGGCCATATCGCATTCAATGAGCGGCTACGACTTTGAATGGGAGTAAAAGGCTTGCTGCAACATTGAAAGGGATTGCTCAATGCAAAAGCTTCGATCTTTTGTCAAGCTGAAAAGAGCCTGGAAGCTAGCTGCAAATCGGATCACAGGATCAAAACTGAATAGGATAATTCCGTAATGCTTCTCAGTCACGCCTATTCATTCTGAGTCCCTCCTTACATGTAAGTGATCTATGCTGTAATTATGAAATCTCAACGAAACCAGACAGAGAAATTGTCGTGCACTATGCGTTTTCATTAATGGAATTCTTGCTCTGGCCTACAAAGGCCAAAAAGCAGCCCACGAGTAAATCACCAGAAGTCCACCACGATCAAAACTCCATTTATGAAGCTTCAGGGAGTAAATACTCAGCGCCAGTACATTATAGTGGGGCAAACTGTTCATTCCTGTCAACATCCGAACCATTTTTTCGAGTCACGAAAGGCCTTGTCAAATTCGTGCAGCGCCAATAAATGTTAGATAAAAGATCATGGTATTTGAAAATGGACAAAATCCCCTAGAAATATGGAAAAGAGGTGCTGAGAGTCGACTGCAAGCCGGGGATGTGGATTTATAGCTCTAAGAGAAGTAACAAATAAATGAATAAATAATTTCCAGGGGACGGTGGACGAATTGCACAAAAGAATCAATTCATCATTTCACAGCTCGTTTCCTTGAGATTAGGCGTTAACTATCATCCACCCTGATCACAATCACTTCATTGCACCCTCCAACAGTTACAATAAGTACCGTACATCGCAGGGCATATTCTACGTTAGGACCCCACGGAGGCTGCATCTGCTCGGTGCAGGGAGGAGGTCGTACTCGGCCTCTTTTCTTTTGTTTCTAAAAGTTGATTTTTTCCAGTTTTAGGCATGCTACCTACACCCTTGAAAAGATTCTAACGGTGGGAGGAGGAGGGGGAGGACTTGCGAGTACTTGGGAGAGGTCGTACTCGCTCTTGAAAAGAATTTTCCCAGTTTTCGGTTGCCGACTTTCCCCAGCCTTTCCCGTTTTATACCTGCCACATCAACTCTTCCTGCCCTTATCACATGCTTGTCCCCGTTGCTCGAGCGGCATTACCTTACAAGTAGCACATTCGGAAGCTGGAACCAGCTGTTGGAACCCGATGACCTCGCTCCCCAACCACCTGCTCAGTGTACTTCCATGGAGAAACGCGCGATGAGTCGACGAGTTTCCCCCACAGTGTCGCCAGTACCGACCAACCTTGACCTCCCTCCCCTCCCCCGTCCCCCAATCTTCCCCACGGCGAAAGTGTGTGACAGCAAGTGGTGCCGCCCACCACATGCACGGTCTTGACAAAATAACGGAACCACGGCGCGGTATGCGTCGGTGATGCACAACAGTAGGTGGAGAGGGGAGTCGTATTTGGCCTGCGGTCTTTTTTCTGATCGTTGATTTCGTCCGTATTTTGTTTACCGTTAGCTGGCGGCCCTACATTACGAAACTACAGTCCCTCACAGCTGTTTCTGGACAGCTGAGGTGTTCCCCTCCCCCCACAACCTTCAGCGATGACAATTTTTTTGAAAGTTTGGTAAGATTTTCAGTTGATTGCGTAAAGGGTCACACCGAAGGAGAAAATGTAAATAGGACACCGTATTCAGCGAGAATCGGTGCTAATGCTCAATCGTAGATCGTGCCTGGATGGAAGACCTCTTAGGCCAATCGAGGTCTCTCCAAGGTCGTATATATGATATCACGCTTTTCTGGGAGGA